GCCCCCCCCCCCCCCCCCCCCAAATTCCGCACAAATGGAACAACGACAAACAACAACAACAACAACAACAACAACAAAAACGGCAACGGAGAAAGACTTCTCTGCGTAAATCATTGATTGACCTTTTATTGTTATTTTAAAAAAGTTTTAGTAAGAGTTTTACGCCACTTGCAACACAATCGGGCTATATAAGTGCTGAAGATTAGAGGTGTTTCAAGAGAGTAACAAACATAAAAAAGAAGGAGAGATCAGGACGATATATGTTTGATAGGAAAAAAGGAGCAAACCACACCAGTGCACCCACCAACCACCCACTTTTATTGTTCATTACAAATGGCAGATGATGATTGAATCTGTGAACACATAGATTTACTGAGACAATGAATGATACCAGTGTGACGTAACATGAAGAAACATGGCGTACATCACATAACGTACAGATGCAACTAGCGTGAAGAACATGAACTGACATCATATTATAATATATAATCATGCTAACAAGAACAACATCAAAAATGAAGAGGATGCATCTCTCTGCTCAAGCAAACAAGGTCTGTGGGTGGTTGGCAGGTGCTCTGGTGTCGTTTGCTCCTTTTTTCTATCAAACGTCCATCGTCGTTATCTTTTCTCTTCTCATTCTTTTCTTTACGTGTTACTCTCTTGTAACAACTCTGATCTTTGTCGCTTGCCTGACATATCTGTGTTTGAAAGTACTTAAAACTGTTAGTGAAACTGAAATTGAGCAAGTGGTCTACATTTATTGGTATTGTGGCGTCCGTGGCATAATAGTTAAGCTCTCAGACTCGCAACCGTAAGGTCGTGGGTTCGACACTTTACACGAAAGTTCCTTACTTCAGCAAGGTGGAAATGGGTACCAACCTATGGACAGTGAAAGATCTTGTCAGTTTGAGTGCTTAATCAGCTTCATGCACTGTATGCTTCTCGAGAAGCTGAGAATGTTCTACACTGCTCTATGGTCTGGTGGGGTATTATTAAAGTGTAAAGCGCATAAAGTTTGCTGTAGAACTGGGTTATGCGCTCTACAAATGTTACTATTATTATTATTATACATATTATTATTATTATTATTATTATTATTAGTAGTAGTATTAT